CGTTTCCAGTCCGTACCGGTCCATCCCCTGATCTGATTAACCCTTGATGAAGGCCGCGACCTGGCGAAACGCACGTCCACGAAATCCTCGGGAATTAGTCGGCCTCGAGATAAGACTCCATCTTCCTCGACTTCCATCCCTCTGCCCAACTATCATCATCGCTCTTGGCCAAACTCGAGAGATCCTCTTCAGCTTCGACGCTCCGAAGACGGCCGCCGGTTCAGTTCATCGAGAAAACCTCGTCTCAACGTTCGCACGACGCTCGGTTAACTGCTAAAGATACTGGAAACTCCAGTCGGGACGAATTCCACGCGAACCATTTATTCGCGAATGGTGGAATTCCCTTCCCGCGAAAAGTTCGACTTCGAGCAGCCCGGCCTCCATTGTCATTTCATAATTACCATTCCATTGTCGAAAGGGCTAACTCACGAGCCAGAGGCAGATTCTAGTTAACGCGGTTAGCCCCCGCGGGCTCCCCAGGGTCTCGGGCTACCGAAGTATCGCGCAGCGTTTTAACGTTAATTCCGAGACAGCCCCCGGAATCGGGACCATTGTTTGTCCTATCGTAGGTCGGCCAACGAACGAGAGAGAATGGAGTCGACGATCCTGGAATGCGGCCGGTTAACGTCCGGTTCGTCCAGTAATGGCGCGACTCGCCTCAAGGGTCGTAGCCTCTATTAAAGCCGGATAGTTTCGTGGACCTTGTCAGCAGATCGGAACGCCCAACATCCGGCGTCGCACCGAACCACTGAACACCGATCGCGCTCGATTTCGCGCGCGATTGCGTCGTGACGTATATATACGCGGAATTGCACCAGCTGGACAAAGTTTGTTCGTTCGAACGAATTCTTCTGTTGTACTACACGGACAAGAATATCTGTTCTCGTAGAAACGGAACATGGGAATTCGTCATTTGTATTCTTTGCGAACGTTTGCTCTGCGCGAGAATGTTAATCCCTTAAGTGTTTTGTTTTATTTTGAATAATTCAGTAATTATTCGTAATTCTTACCTAACCTTAGCGGTGCAGTATCTCTTCTGCACTAATTGCATCTCCCTCGCGACTGTATTTCGCTTTTCAATCCTTGAACGAATTTTATTCAACAGGCAATAAAAAATAGAGTTATATAATTTCCATAAGCACTTTGTTCGCTCTTTCAACAACGCCGATTTGGGAAATCTGTTTCTCTGGATTAACTCATCCAGAGAGTTCCCATTTCTTTGTAGTACCTGATTCTTTATTTTTTTATAATTAACACTCCTCGAAAATGAACCGACATTTCGAAACATGTGTTTTAACGTTGTCGCAGGTTTCGTGAAACTTAGAAGTCGATGCATGTATCGCCGCATTTCAACGTGCGTGGAAAACTTGAAGAAAATCTTACCTTTGTCTTTATACGCACTTCACATGCTCACACACACACAAAATCGTATGCTTGTAATTTTACGTCGTAAGATTAGGGCTAGGCTAGGCAAATCCCAAGTTTGGTTCGCCCTGACAATCGCATCGAGCAACAATTGCCTCGCTCTTAGGTCACACAGTACGAAATTTTGAGCAGTGAGACTTCCTCGCAGCCACGAATGCGCGACAATTGCGTTTTAAAGAGACGTTGAAGAGAATCGGTCGAACGAACGGCAACGAGGCCATCCGATTTATTTATAACAGTAAGCGTCAGCCTATTGGTTCGAAGTCAAAGAGAACGTTCCACGTTCCTCCCTTTGTCCCGTGTATAGAACACGGTCAAGCCGTGATCCCTTAATGGACAGGATCCCTAGCTCGCGATTAAGCCACTGCATAATATAGGAAAGCCTGGCCTCCCGTTGCCTCCTCGTGGGAGCACGTTGAACAGGTTGCTCCTATTTGTCCGACCTAATCGAGACCGATGAAGCCTGACGGCGTCACTTTTCTTCCCGTGGAATGCCGAGCCCGCGTCAAACGAATGGCTCGAAACTTTAACAACCTTCTTATCGATAATCGTTCATTCGGCGCGGTTTAACCTCCCCGGGGTTAACGAGCAGATCGGCGCGCGCGGTGTCAATCGATTCCCACCGACCCAGAAATCAACTTTCCCGACTTCGAAATATCCGTTTGGCCGCGTCGCGAAATAAATTGAACGCGTCGCGTGCTCGTTCACGATCGATCGATGCCACGATGCGCACCTCTCTCTCTCTCTCTCTCTCTATCTCTCTATTTCTATCTCTATCTTTCCTTTTCGGTGTTTAGTTTCGTAGTTCGTAACGATGAAATCCAAGAGTGCAGAGAAACACGTCCCTCGCGACGATTGAACTCCACCCTCCCTCAACTGTAACGCAAGACGTTTTATCCCTCGCGCGAAATGGATCAAGGTGTAGCAGATCGGATCGGCAGATTCGTTAGAAATCCGTACAACTCCAAAGAGGAACTCGAGTTACGTTCTACCCGCTTTCGCACCCGCGCTGCTCTTCTTCTCTTCGGTTCTCTACGGACGTAAACAGAAGGTTCGAGAAAGATTTCTACCGGGATAGAGAGGCGGATATATAGCGAGTCCGGTTCGGTGAACGATTAGGTGCCTCGTTCGTAGACAAGCCTCCTGCGGATTAAGAGGGTAGGTATCGCCGGTAACAAGATTATCCCAAAGAAGAAGTACGAACGGGGGGGGGGCGGTAGGGAGGAAGGACAGAGTCGAGTGTAGCAGACTGGCACGAGGATGAATGTTGCAGGGAGGGTGGAACCCGCGTGCTCTAGTTGAAGCCCTATCCCGTATACGTAGGTGTCTGCCGTAGAAACGAGCGCTGATCTCGTTACCTCTCTAAAAAA